CCCGAGGGTCTACTCTGGCCCTGGTGCCGCCCGGAGCCAGCTCCGGCCCTCCTGGTGCGCCTTCCCCCACTGTTGGACCTCCCGAGGCTGAGCCCCGCAAGAGGCTCTCGGGCTTCAAGCTTGGCCGGAGTCTGTGGGACCCCGCGGCAGCCGACCAGCAAGTACTCGAACTCTGCTTTGCCCCTGTTTTTGCCGTCGAGGCCTGATATCTCTTATTTGGGTAGACTGCCACCTGCGGCGAAGAGGCTGAAGGGAGACGCGCCGACCCCGCTTGGGACGGGCTCACCGGATGTGGCCACGTCTTCACTCGCGAGGAAGGGAGGCAGCGGAGCCCGCACTTCCCCTGCCCGATCATCCTCGCGAGGCCAGCAGGGATGCTCCGGCGGGGAGTCAGCCCCCATGACCCCGCTGACTTTGGAGGCGCCTGTGCTTGATGATGTCATCGAAGTTGCCAACGCTCAGGAGGTCCCTGCCTCCCAAGCTATGATCACGCTGCCATCTTCTCCTCCGACTCCGTCGGCTCTCGTCTCCTCTGCCTCCTCCATCGCCTTGGACCATGCTGCCGACGAGCTGAGTCGGCTGCGAGAGGATCTCCGGGGCGCCAACCCCCGCCTGGTGGCTGGGCGCCTGGAGTTGGTCTCCGTCTGGGTTCGCTCTGACACCTCTGTCCGAGCGGCGCTGGGCCAGGCTGTGACAGCTTCCGAGTAGGAGAAGCAAGTCACCTCCCAGGCCATAGCCGCTCACGTCGCAGCATTAAAGGATGCTTCAACTGTTAAGGGCCACTGCAAGACGCTGGAGGGTGAGCTGCAAGGGCTGCATGATGAGCTCACCAAGGAGGTTCGCGACCGACAGGCGAAGGAGGAGGAGATGAAGGCTCAAGAGGCTGCCGTCAAGGACCCCGACGCCGAACACTCAGCTGACTGCGGCCGACTGAAGATGCTGGAGCAGGCGCTGAAAACGGAGAGGGTTGAGCTGGATGCCAAGGCGAAGGTTTTGGCCGAGGACCGCGCGGCCTTCACGCGTTATGAGGAGAGGGCTCGCACGGTGCTGAAGACGCTTTATGAAGAGGGCCTGGAGAAACCACAGGACGGAGCCACGGAAGGCCCCGCCAAGCTGGTTCCCTTCCTTGTCGAGGCGCTTGAGGAGGTCGTGACCGGCATTGGCCCCATGGACAAAGTTGAGGCTCGCATCCTTTCCTCGGCGGCGCTGATGCGGATCCTCAGCCATGTCTACCTCCGCAACCCTGATGCCAACCTTGACGACCTGCTGGAGCCCGTGGACGCCAAGCGCTCCGCCGCTGCTGCCAAGGCCGTGAAGGGTCGAGCGGAGGCCTTGCTGGTGAAGTTCTGCACCTTTAACACCGCACCCAAGCGAGGCGTTGTTGGCTCCGTGGCCTTGGGTGGTGGAGCTAACAAGCGCGACTCCACCACAAGCGGCGGCGCGGCCCAGGGGTGATCTTCTCGCGGCTTCTTTCTTGCTTCGGTTCCTGCAACATGCACCATGCCTCGTGGAGGCGTTTATACTTGTGTCTGGTATTGTGAGAACAATTTATGGTCTGTAATATTTGCTTCGGAATTTGCTAGATTTTGCGGTTTCCTTCCTATTTGCTTGTGTTCTATGTCAGCAGGGCCCGACCCCGCGCATACCTCAGCCGTTGTTAGCCCCAACTGGATCACCAGGATGGGACTAAGTAGTGAGAGGCTACGTGGCAAGTTAGGCTCCTGAGTCACAATGCTTAGGAGTCCCTCTTGACGCGCAAACAGCAAATAGGGAGGGGGTGTAAGAGAGGATCTGTCATTCTACATCGGCAGGGCCCGGCCCCGCGCATACGTCGACCGCCATTAGCCTTTCGAAACTAAGGAGTGAGGGGCTACATGACCAGTTAGACTCCTGAGTCACGATGCTCAGGAGTCCCCCTTGATGCTCAAACGAGTCTTCGTACCTTGGCTCCGCTGAGGGAGGGGCGCGCGATGACCAGGTCCGAGGGACATGGCTGGGTGGCATGTGCTCGGGCGTGACGCGGGCGCAGCCCCCGTGCCTAGCCCCCTCGTGCGGCGTTCCCGAGGGGAGGCATTGCGATGACGCCAGACACTAAGCTCTGGGCTCCCTCAGGTTGATACACTCGTG